AAATAGAAGTTTTGACAAGAGATGTCATAAGTCATTCCTTTGTGGTTTCTGTGGTTCGGGTAGTTTAGTTCTAAATTTGGAACATCCATATTTTGATAAATATATATAGAGAAAGTTTTTAAATGGGTTCTTATAATAAAAAAATATTAAAGTGTAATTACTACAGAGTTTTATAGTGACGCATAATAAAGTGTAACTAAACATATTTATGAAGTTATTTCCATATATAGGTAATATGTAAAAAACGTATGACTACCTACTTTTGTTGTCAAATATTTTTATGGAACATAAATATTTGTAATTTAAAATTAACTTATTAAGAAGTATTTAATTTAATGCAGATATTAAAATAGTTGAGACAAATTTAATACAATAAACAATCAACCACCCACATATTAACTTTTTATTTATTCGACTATCTGGTTGGATTAGGTATTATCTGTTTGAAGAGTATTTATTTTTTTTAATCAACAATCATAAAAACTGCCCTGTGAAAAAGAAACTGTTACAGTTATGTATGATTTACTATTCAGCCAAATTACATGTACCAAGCTTTAATTATAATTGTAATTGTATATCTTATACATTTGTATATTAATTGTACCTTTATATAGATCTTTACATAAGCTCTGTAAAACAACAAATTTGTCTTATATAGGAATGAATCGATATCAGATAGGACATCCTTTAAATTATATTTTAGTTTTTTCAATTTTTTGGTTGCTTTATATACTTGCTAAATTAATATTATTTTTTTTATAATCAATATTTTCAAAATTCATAACTTCAAATATAGACCACAGGTATATTTCAATAATGACAATAATAAAAATCTCAGTAAGTAATTGTAAAAAAAATATGGTAATATATAATACCACATAATATATGTTTGAAGCTGTAATAAAATTATTTTGTAGTTACAAATTGAGAAAAACATAGTTAACATGCCATATGTGTACATATTTTACTACTGCAGATATCTATTTTTTGCGGATCGCTGATTGATAAACATGGCATGTTAACAATTCTGAAATGAACATTGACAAAATAGCATGTTACATTTGCTAATTTTTCCAGAGAAAAATTAAACAATAGAAATTGTATTTTGTTTTGTCTTTTTTTAATCGTAATTTTAATTTTTTTGTCTCTTTAAATATAGGGTTTACCGACAGCCTAATTACATATTTTTCTATGACTCAAAGAAAATGTTAACATTCCTTCCATGTAATATCGACAACTTTGCAGGTTTTGCAAATATTGAATATTATTACAAATAACTAAGTCAATAGATGATAAATTAGTATGATTTACACGAACAATATTGGGAGATAAGGTTTTGTAAATAATAAAAAAAATGGTACATTGTCACATACACAATTATATAATAAGCCCATATATGATGAAACTGCCTCATAAATAGACTGTCCTTTTATTCAATTTAATGTGATAGATTCCATCAATGTATTGTCATTGGTTTATTTAAAATTCTAATCTCTTATTGGCTCTACAGAATCCATCGCATTGAAATGAATAAAAAAATAGGGCTATACTATTGAAGCTTATAAACAGTACAAATTTCACTTAGAGAACTGTAAATTGACATAAATATTCCGAATATTTAAAAATCATAGATCTAAGTTTTCTCTTCTTAAGTGAAGTTAATAACAAAAATTGAAGAATTTACAAGTTTGTTAAATACTAACATATTAGAAATATTAAATATTTAGAATGAATAGTAATCTTAAAGAGAAAAACATAAATAACAGAAAAATTACACAAAGTGTTAATGTTAAAATGAATGGAAAAATATGATTAAACAAACTAAAAATGGAAAGTAGTAAACAATTCAAAGTAGGTGAAAAAGAAACTTCTTATTTGCACATATTGTAATGGCAGAATGGGGCAAGGCAAATATTGAATGACCACTTGAAAAAGTACAGGGTCAAAATTTGGCGTGAGTTCCTAACTAAATAGAATTTAAAATGTAGGTATTATATCTGCATCATGAAGACAGTTAAAGTAACAAGGCCCTTTCTGCATTCTTCTCAGAGCAAACAATAGTTAGTTAATAATTTTTGGTAATAATTATTGTAACACAGATTTTGCTAATTTCCTAAGTAATGAATAATAATATTACTGGATAACTAATTATTTAACTTATAGCAGATCTAAACTGTAATTGTTAAAATTGAAAAAAAATTACCTTTCCAATGTGCCCCGGGAATAAATGTTTTCCCATTCGGATCTAAAATTTTTTAATTTTATGTATAAAACTAAAATAACAAGTGCTATTATTAATACAGGACAAGAATTCGAAGAAATAATTTCATTAATTCAAAAATTTAAACAGTGATAAAAAAATTAAATATATTCACTATGTTATCGTTGTAATCAAATTCCCCTTTATATAATATTCTAATGCTTTTTTTTTTAAGGTTTTGTTAACAATGCCTGCACCTCCACCTCCCCCTCCCATGGCCCCTGCGGCGCCACCTCAACCTGTATTAAATATATCAAAGGGTGGCGCGACTGAACGAGATGCATTATTAACATCCATCAGACAGGGAAAGAAATTAAAAAAAACTGTTACTGTTGATAAAAGTACTCCACTGATACCAGGTTTGTATTACATACAATGGTTCATATACAGGGTGCGCCGCTTAAGATTCCCACTGGGGTTTATTTACAAACAGACAAACAATAAAGGGTTTTTTATTACATTTTTATGACTGTATTCTGCAGAGAAATTTTTTAAACTCGAGAACAAAAAATTTGGTACTATCGTACATTATTTTCTATTTATTTACTTCTTTTTATTGTATGCTAATTATCAGCAACTTTGTTGTTTGTTGAAAAATAGCCATCTGTAACATTTTAATACACATTTTTTTTTTAATATTTTACAATTAGATCAATAATATTAAAGGACAATAACCAAATTATCATATACTTTTTTATTTAATGGGAAGTTAATTAAATTAGTAGTAATACGAGTTTAAATAAGAGACTTTCAAATAGAGATTTTCTTGAAAAGATGTAAAAAATAAACTGATTATTGAGAAATCTTTTAAAAAATTTGGTAACATGGTACATAAAAATTTTAGATGATTTTTGCTTGTTAAATTTCTTCGACAAGTGTAGGAATTTATTAGGTAGTCACCCTGAATATCACACAAAATTTGTTTTTTTAATGTATATATTAAAAATAATATCTTGTACTGTTTTTTTAATTTTTATTTGGCACATCTTTCAATTTTTTTTATTTTTATTTAACCATAAGTAGTGTATACCTAGTATTATGGGTTGGAATGCTGTTTTGATGAATTTTTTGTTTAAAATACAAAATACAACAGTTGCTATTGCATGAGTAATTTTAAAGAATGAATAATTTCTTGCTAAACATTCAGGAAGTGTTACTAACCTACAGGTTACAGAAAATCAGTTGATATGGAATTGTTTACACTTTTTAAGCCGTGTTGCAATTTTAAGAAAATGCTTAAGAATTATAAGCATTTCAATTACAATAGGACGTCAAAGAGAACTTGTACAGAATAATAAATAGTGAGGATTGCCAGTTTATTTCATAATGTGCCTTATGAAGAAACTACTAACAATGTATGCCTTTTTTAGCTGGAAATTAAATTTTTGTTTGAAAGCCAGGCACTCTCATTTAATGTGACAATAATTGTAATGAATAACTTCAGTGTACTTCGTTATTGTTCAAGATTTATCCATGTAATTGTAATATTGAGGTAATAATAGTTCAATTAGTATTTTATTATGAAGTTTAATCACTTTAAAAATAATTACCTACATAATAAAATATTTTTTTTTTTTGTTCCTATGATTATTTTTTCAACTTGTTTTATATTAAGTATGTACCTATTTATAAGACTTAAAACGTATATTTTGAAATCTTGAATATTTTTTTTGTGATGAATCTTAAATGTAATACATCAATTATCATTTATTATCATTTTGTTCTAAATGATAGAAGATTTGGCGTGCATGCAAAAATATGAAATATCTATTCGTCAGAATAAAAAATACAGAATAAGTAAGTTGTATTGCACTTCATTTTTTTAAGGTAAAGTTAGCAGTTCTACAGGAAATAATAATGGGTTTACATCGTCTTCTGCATCCCCTAGTATCCCTGGAAACATCCCTTCAAATGGATTAGGTGGATTATTTGCAGGTGGAATTCCAAAACTTAAACCTACTGGTAAACTAGGTAAGTTGATGCATAGTCTAATCTTATTTGACAAAAAAAAGTATGTACTGTCAATTTGATTTTTTATCTTTCATGTAAAAGGAAAGAACTAATAATACATAGTAAACAAATATTTGCTTTGCCAAAATATTTCGACACCCATACTTAAAATATTAACAAATATTTTAATGTAATAGTTAATTCTAGAAAATTCTTTCATTCTTTGAAAATGAACAGCAACATTTACTTTTTGTTGTTCTGCAAATTAAATTTTTGTTGTAAACATTATTAATACATGAAAAGTATATCATTTGAAAGTAAAGTTTAAAAAATAATTTTCTGTACAAAAATAATAATAATAATTATTATAATTATTATAAGTAACAAATTTTGTCCTAATGCATACACATGAAGTTTATTGTTATCTTTTTTTGATGGTACCTATTGATTTTAATTTCATTTGCAACAATAAATGAAAAAAATATATATTTTAATATTTAAAATGTAGACTTTTAGTAAATAAAAAAGATGACGCCACAGGTGGGTAAAAAAAAGAGAGTAATCTTTTTTGAAAAATAATTATTTTTGTTAGGCGATCAATCAGATCTATTTCTCTGGAGCAAATTTAAGATTACATATTAAGAAAATAATAATCAATTTGAAATATGTCTCTACAACACAATAAAACATTCTCATTTAGCTTTTAACCGCCCTTGAGCTACATTGAATGTGATCGATGTATTTCGGGTCCATCTGTACATTGTGTTATAGTCTGCTGTATTAACTATTAATTAATTTAAAATTCATTTTGGAAATGCTCTTTGGCAAAGTATGGCACAGCTAAGAAAAATTATTGAAATTTGCCAAGGTTGTCACACCCTGAAATTTAACAGTTTACAATAAGCATGTAGTGAATACTGTTTTAAGTAAATTTCGTTTTGTTGTAACATTTATTAGACATATTTTGGTGCCATTTCAGTGATAGCAACTAATACGAAGTAAATATTTTGTTTTAAAAAGCTGTGTAGTTTTTTTTAGATTAGGACTAAAAATCAAACATAAAATTTTGCTCTGTACCGAGTATACTCTGCAATTTTATTTAGTTTTGAAGAAAAGAAGGAAACTATTTGAAAAGGCACGCTAAGTCTCAGATTATTAAATTTAATCAAATAAACTAGAGCTCCTGTCTATCTTGGACATTTTCAAACCGAAAATTATAAAAAACGAGGGTGGTTATCTGGTTGTTATAAAAAATCTCTTTTTTATTGTTGCAGATTTTCTGCCTATAACTAAAGAGAAAACATTTGTCAAAACAAAAATTGAACATGTCAAAACAACAATAAAACACAAAAAAATAATCAAGGAACTCAATTTTTTAATAATTGTAGTAGTTAGTAGTAAATATTTAGCCTCATTTTTACTTTTAAAAGGTTTGGCGAAGAATATATGTACTTATTTTTTAAGCAGCAAAATAATTACAGTCTAAAGATAATGGTCTATTTGGACATTTTGTGACCATAGCGACATGAAATTATACTGAAGTTTCTGCTTTAATTATAATAAGCTCTCATACAAAGTAATACAAATTTTATTACACATTAGATCAAATATTTTGCTGATTTGAGTATAGAAAACATATTTACCTACATAAGTAAAAAGAAAAGAAATTGTGAATCATTTAAAAATTTAAAAATATAGCTATTTAAAAAATAAGTTTTTTCTGTAACGGGAAAAAGTTTGACATTTTATCTCTGTTGACAGGTAACAAAATGTCACTTTTTATGAAATTGCTTTTTTCCCCGGGAAAAAAGTGAGTACTTTTTTCCCGGATATACAGGGTGACCCATTAAGAATGGAAACACTCGCGTACAAAAGTTGTTTATGGACCGATTTGAACCGTTTTTTTTTTAAAGATAGATCTCCAAAAGCTCTATCTTGATGCAAAATTTGAAGACGAAATTTTGATTTTCAAGGCCTATTACGAATTTTTTTTTAAGTGAAAAATAGCAAAATCTTGTTATTAGTGATTTTTTATAAAAATCTGACTACACCACTGGATTTAGGAACCCCTCAAATGCATTTGTATCAATTTTTGCGAAAAATAGTTTGGCCCTAAAAAAGTTATGACAATATCGGCATCACCAGTGTTTGCCGTTGTCGGTGAACCTATTCTTTTATAAAAACTGACTAGAACCCAAAGGGAAACAAAACTAAATAACAAACACTGGTTTACTAATTATTAATCAGAATCATAAAAACCAGTATACACAAAATAAACAACAATTACTCTAATATAAACAACAATTGATAAAAAAAATTATTAAAAAATTACATTTTTAAAAATGAAAAAGGAGTCTATCAAATTGATTTACACTAATCACGTCATTAAATTTAAATTTTTGTAGCTTCCACTAATCCTCCGTTTAATTCTATACGTTTTTCATAACGGTTTTTTTTATATTTTACATTTGTTCATTTTATTTTTAAGCAACGTTATTTTCTGGAATATCTCGTAATATTTTTTTCAGAAACTTCTTCACAATGAACTGGATTATGGTTGTAGAATCCAGTGGCTTTTTGAATAAAAATATTATAAATGTAATTATTTTTGTTTAAAGAGGCAATATTTGTAAGTTTTGGCATAATAACCACGAAATAATAATAATTTGACGAACTTGTTTTTTATTTTATGTATACTGGTTTTTATGATTCTTATTAATAATTATTAAACCAGTGTTTGTTATTTAATTTTGTTTCCCTATGGGTTTTATTCGGTTTTTATAAAAGAATAGGTTCACCGACAACGGCAAACACTGGTGATGCCGATATTGTCATAACTTTTTTAGGGGCAAACTTTTTTTCGCAAAAATTGGTACAAATGCATTTGAGGGGTTCCTAAATCCAGTGGTGTAGTCATATTTTTTATAAAAAAATCGCTAACAAAATTTTGCTATTTTTCACTTAAAAAAAATTCATAGTAGACCTTGAAAATCAAAATTTCGTCATCAAATTTTGCACCAAGATAGAGCTTTTCGAGATCTATATTTAAAAAAAAAACCGGTTCAAATCGGTCCATAAAAAACTTTTGTACGCGAGTGTTTCTATTCTTAATGGGTCACCCTGTATATAATATACATAAGTAAAGGTAGATATTTAAAATAATTTTTGTGACGCTACTTTCGCTGCTTCCACTAACTCCGGTGGAGTTAGAGAAAACACGGATTCAGACATTTTTTAACTTTATATTATTCAAAATAACTACTAAACAACCACTAAGTTTGCAATTTTTAAATCAAATCACAGAATTAAATTGACAGATATTTGATTACTTTAAAGGTTTCCTTAGCAACGCAGATGTAATTGTCGCTATAAGTATAACAGCCTACCAATTTAAAACTTTAGTAACTAATATATTGTAATAATGTTTTTTCAATATTAAATCGTTGTTTTTCCCGTCACAGAAAAAAAATGTGTATTATACAAATATCTATTTAATTGTAAAAATTTAAATTTAATATTTTCTTAATTTTATTGTATTAGATAATTGAAATTATTTTTTATATAATTTTTCAATATAAAGTAAAAGAGGAAATAAATAAATATACAGTAAAAATTGGTTATAACGACATTGCTTTATACGACATATTGGATATAACGACGGAATTTGGAAGTCCCGATTAAATCCTATAGAAATACCATATTAAAAATATAGTTTATTACGACACCGTTTACATTTCGGATTTAGTGACGCGTTTTATATACAGAATGTATCGGTTATAACGACCAATAGTGATATACGGCCTTAACACCAATGCACGGCTCTTCCGCCTGCCCCGCCGGCATCCACGCTTTTAACACCAGTTGGTACTTTTGGGACAAATAAGAATAATAATAATTATAATATCTCTACTTCTCATTCTAATTACGAGAATTAGCCCAGAAGTCGAAGACTTGTGCGGGAGAGGAGGCGGCATATTATTATTACGCAGGCCGCATTTGCGCCCAGGAACGACTTATGTTGGTAGGCCCTAATCACCATTCAGTGCAGGAATGAGGGAAACCTGGAAATCCTCATTAATTAGGGGGGTGGTCAAATGCCAACCGATGTCAATCTCTCACATTAACCCAAGCCAACATTCTTCCACCCTACCATACCTGCACAGAGGGTGCCAATCCTCTGTACAAGCATAGTTAATCTACGGTCTACCGGCCGCGGGATTCGAAACCCGGGCAGATCGACACATCGATTTAAGTACTGACGCTTTAAACCGTGCGGCTATCGACCGTGTCACAACTTATCTATGCATACAGTTATATTATATGTATTAATTACCACTTTCTATCACGATCTCAAAGAGAAAAGTGTTTAATAACGAAGAAAAATCACATATAATATACAGACTAAAAAACAGAGAAACTAATGCAAGCAAGTAAACTAATGTGGCGTATCATACTACGAATTAAACAATTTGGAAGGATAGAAATAAAATAGTCTCTATTCCAAAACAATTCATTGAAAATTAAGCGCGCGAGATCTTTTGAATGCAAAGCAATACTTGTACATACTTAAAGACTTGTATTGTAAATTTCTCATTTTTTCTATAAAAATTTTAAATAAAATATGTAATTGCGTATTACGTCTATCGGTTATAACAACCGTAAACAAACGGTTCCTTGAAGGTCGTTATAACTGATTTTCACTGTATTATTCTTTATCGCTACACCTTTTCTTGAATTCTGCCTATACTATTTTAGGTGTAAAAAATTGCTGATATAACATACCTTTTAAACATTCAAGTGTTTTATACGCAATCGCACTTCATTTTTCTTAATTATTTTCTTTCATGAGTAACGCTCAAACCATGGAATTATTCTAAAATTGCTTATGCCTGTCAAAATTCATTCTGCAACATAATTATTAGGTTGATTCATATGTGAAAATTAAATTTAATCTGTTGTAATGAATATAACACTTTTATGAATGTTTTATGAATAATTATAATCTAATTATTGTTTATACCAACACCATCTCTTCCTCAAAAACTTTGCACCACATTCTCTGATTGTATCTTTGTAAACTCACACTTGAAAAATAGATTTTGGAACACTGCCTGTATAAATATAAATTGTAGTTGTGTTTCAAAAATAAAACATTCCCAAAATAAATACTTGTCATTTGGATTGTCAGTTATATGTAATTTAACTTTTCTGTTTTTATATTTCTTATTATGTATTTCTTGTAGGGCCTCCTAGTAGTACTACTAAAAATGTTAATAACAACGATGTTACTCCACCACCTGTAACACCAACTAAAAATTTTACTAACATACAGTTGGAGTTGAAGAAGCAGTTAGCAAGTGATAATAGGAATAGGGGCCCACCTCCACCTGCACCAAACAGAAATGTAAGTACCTAGTTTTGTGTTAACCGCTTCTGATACAGTGTATTGATCTGAATGTGACAAGAAATAAAATAGTAAGATATTTTGGACAAAAAATATTTATAAGTGCAAAAATGTAAGCGAATAGTATCACATATTGACATATATATTTTTCTATCTGGCAGTATAATGTGTTTTGATTATTATGTTGTCAATATCCTTGAGGCATAAAGTTGCCATTTTTATACTTTTTGTATTTGTTATTGGCAAGTGTTTTGTGTTAAATGAGAATTTCAATGGTTGTATACATTCATGTGCAATTTCATGACACTAATATTGGCAAATTCCAATATGCACCCACATTAATTTACAGGTGCAACATTTGATTGAGGATATAAAAAATGTAATTAATTAACCCAGACTGGTCTTCAATTCTATATGTGATGCTTTATAGGGAATACTAAACTATTTTTACATTATTAACTAATTCTAAACTGTAAATTTGAAAAATGCAAGTAAAGTGTTATAAACATTTCCTAATTATATTATAAATTATGAATCCACCAAAAAAGTAAGTTATTGCAATAAGACAAAATAATTGATAAGTATGTTATACTGTTTAGAATTATATTCCACAATTTATCAGTCTACCACAATGTGATAAAAGTAATAGTCTGTGTTAAATTATCAGGTTCTTTTGGGATTTTCTAATTTATTTATAATAATAATTCTAATAGTGGATATTTTATAGAATTGTATTTTATCAAAAAGAAGTGAAAGATGAAAATGATGTCAGTACTTAGACATTTAAAAACATTAAGAAATTACATGTTTATTATACAGGGTGATTCACAAACGGTGACCAAAAATGAAACCTCGTATTCTTTGGTGAATTTTCAGGTGTCTTTCGTATAAAGTTTTTATCTAGGACGCTTTGTTAAAAAGTAAAAATAAAATAGTACACCACTGCTTTACGGTAACGATCATGATATTTTCGGATTCGTCTTTTAATTTTCTACAAATTACTACTCTTTTATGTTTTTCGAAAAAAGCCTGATTTTCGAGTAAAACTTAAAAAACCAAATGAAAACACTTACTTGAATGACATGACAAACACTAATCATTCGGTTATTTAATCGAATAAAGAAATTAATAACATTAGTCATCATTTTAACAATTTTATTTGGGTAAATGCTCAAAAATACCTCTATTTCCATGAACACAGGTGTGACATCTTTTTAGTAACGAAAATGTAATTTGTTCGAGATTTATTGTTGCTTGAATTTGATGAAAAGCATTATTTATTCTTTCTTCTAACTGGTCAGGTATACTAATTCGTTCACTGCATACCAGCCGTTTAACAGCACCCCACAAAAAGAAATCCAGTGGGTTGAGGTCCGGTAATCTTGCAGGCCAATGTACAGGTCCATTTCTACCTATTCATCTTTGCCCAAAATGATCATTGACCATCTAACTACATTTCGGCTAACATGCGGTGTGGTGCGCCTTCATGTTGGTACCACTTGAGTTCTCTCGTTGCTAGCGGAATGTCATCTAAAATAGTATATTCTACGTGGTTTTCTAGTAGAGCTGGTGAGAATTCCTGCTCAAACGTGACAATAATTGCATAAATTGCGAGCTGTTAAAAGTGTCACTCCAAATGATAATAGAAAATCTGTGTTGGAATAAGCGAGTCCTTTGTGCAGGAGGATTTTCTAAAGACCAAACATGCTCATTAGAGGATTGTAGATGCCATTCCTTGTAAATAGAGACACCAGCACCTCTAGCGCCAGGACGTTGGGCAATTCCGCAATGTCAAAGTCTTACAAAAACCATAGGTAAAAATAATATCGGCGTAGTCTTCGTGGGTATATTCCATTATAAAAATTAATTAAACAATCCAGAAATTAGAAATTAGTTTGTGCCTGATATTTTAAAAACAATTATGGTAATAATAAGCAGATTATTGACAGAATGTCAATGTTGCAACCTACTATGTAATTTTAAATTGCATTTTATTGAAGTGTGTTTTCGGTTTGATTTTTAAATTTTACTCGAAACTCAGGGTTTCTTCGAAAAACATGAAAGAGTTGTAATTTGTAGAAAATTGAAAGACGAATCCGAAAATATCATGATTACTAAATTTTAGGAAAAGACGTTAGAATTTGGACAATGTTTACATAAATACATGTGTCCATGTCAAACTCACTCGCGTTGGCACAAAATAGCTACCTGCTGAATCCCAACAACGAAGGTTCACTAAATAACGTTGTGCAAATCAAAATAAGATTTATTCTTCTGCTAAAACAATGTTACAAATCTTTTCATGTTTGACATACGTCAGTCAACAACAACTCTTGATTAATATAAAGTAGTATTCAAGTAAGTAGTAAGTATAAAAGTACAGATATCTTGACAGTCCAATTTCAAATTATTTCAATTATCAGTTTTTTAATTATTTAAAAAAATTTAAAATATTATTAACGAAGCGCCCTAGATAAAAACTTTATATGAAAGACTCCCCTTAAAATTCACCATAGAATACGAGATTTCGTTTTTGGTGTGAATCATCTTGTATTCTTATTGTTCTGTTGAAAGTGTTTAACATATCACTATGAAATCGAGCTTATATGGAAATTTTAATTTTGCTATTTTACTGTTTTTGGTGTTATTGATAGCATTGGACACCATGTTAAAAACACTAATTTAATGTTTGATCAAAACATATAGGTCTATTTACACCGCTGCACTAGATTTATAAAATGATTTGGTATATTTTTCGTCTATTATTTTTTATACACAGGGTGATTCAGTCATAATGTCATTAATTTTAACCACATATTCAGAAGACCTAGTAAAGATAAAAAATAAAAGAAAATTCTCGACCTTTATACTTTTCATTCAAATAAATAATACTTGTTAAATGTTTAAAATATAAAAAATAATATATTAAAAAAGTATCTTCTTCATTCATGTGTCTTGCTAAAAACCTGTCTGTATTTGATGTAACTACGATAGGTCAAGATTAATTCTGGTTAAACTTTTGTGGGTTAGCGTAAAAGGGGTTTAAATGATTTGAAAATATTTTTTTCAGTGTAAATATAATATGCATTTTAAAATTTTTTTAATCGTGTATTCTCATTTTCCCCTATCTTCCTTTAAAATTAATGACATTATGACTGTATAAGTCTTATATCAACAAATTACAGTTATTAATAATAGCTGTGGAACGTTAATGATAATTTGTTATTACCTATATACCTATAAATTAATAGAGATTAAAATTTTAGATAAAAATATTGTCAAAACGGTTTAAACTTTTGTTAAAAATTTGTATTTCGCTACTGTCTCTGCTTCTGCTTCTCAAATATTAGGTTAGTCCATTATCTATTATATAGAAGTGTGGAGAAAATAAAAATAAATAATGATTGTGTATTAGCAAAAACAGTTATAAAAAGAAAAAATAATCCTTAAAATATTTTGCAGAAGCTTAGCCTTCCCTGCCTTTGAAAAGCCATCACTGGATTACAGTAAATGTGTTAATAATATAAATTATTATTGTTTAATAAGATTTTGAGAAGAATTATGTTGTAAATTTTATATTTTAACCGGCCGTCACTCTATCCTTAATGTGTCAATGCAATGGCATGTAAAATCACCATATGAGTATATATCACTTGCATATATCTACATCTTAACCATACCAAAAGGGGTAAAATTAAAAGATTAGTAGTGAATCATGAAAACTTTTATCGGAATTTTCACTTAAATCTGAGTTACCTACAATAATCTCTTCATAAATACCTTTCAAACATGTTTTGCACTGACCTGAACAATGTAGAGTAACTGCTTTCGACAGCAGAGAGACTAGTTTATAAAATATATGGACTATTTTACATCATTTACGCCAGATTGTGGTTTTAAGGGTGGGATAATGAACACCTCAGGTGAATACAATTATATTTCCGTGAAAGGCCCATATAAAAATTTCACGCCCTATATCAATGGCATAAGGGAGATGTGTTATCCACTCTTTTTGAAGTTATTTTCCCCACCTATGGATCTCTTAAGGAAAATCAGTGATTTTCTGAATTAATATGTGAATTTCATACGAAAATTGTCTCGTCGATTTATCTTAAAGTTAATAAAAAAAGAAGATTCAGTTTGTTGTTCCAAAATAAAATAAGAACTTACCAAATTGTTTATCTGGGAAGAAAATGCTTTAGCAGCTTTGTCTATATGGACTTTTCTTTCTTTTAAAGAGATGAATCAGTTTTAAAAAATATTTCCATATAAAAACTACCTTGTCGATAACTAGTGAATCATATTGATAATAACAGTAACATTGTATCAATAAAATAATTGTTATCTCAAATTAAAAAATACCTATTCAATACTGTTACTGATTTTAGGATTGTCTTACAAAAAGCCAAAGAAAAACCGACAACAGATACAGGAAAGTTGGGATAAGCATTGAGAGTTTTGAAAACACCATAACTGAAAATATAAAAAAATTTCTTAAACCTTATCTTCTTCAACCACCACAAAATTTATTGGAAATTGATGACTATTTAATTGGTCCAGTGATATTGCCACATAATATCAACAGTTGTGCTTATTTGAATTTAATTCAAAACAGTGACGGCTCGTGACATTGAGAATAGGTGAAGCATATTCATTGATTGAATAAAAAGAAAAAAAAACGTCGCTGGCAAAAAATTTTAAATATACAAGGTTAAACGCCTTTAAATGAATTTGAATGAATAGATTTTATAAAAAATAGAAATATTAGTTCGGCTTGTGGACTTCTGCGAACATTAACGCACACCGTACATGTATGTTCCAATGAAGCTTTGTGGTTATGACAACCTCGCGTGACGTTCCCAAAATTGTTAAATCCCTTCTTATTCTACACACCCGACTTTACACTCACAATTAAACACGGCATATAGAAACGTTTTTTTAAATGAACACTTCCACACAACCACTGAATACCATTCATTCTGAAACTTTCGAATGTACACATTGTCTTTTGACTTCCCCTTTTTTCCATATCGAGAGAATAAGGCACAGATCTCTCGCAATTTAAAAAATCCTTTTTGTCCTCAATTTTCCATCTGGAAAATGGTGTTTCCAATAAATACAAAACAAATATTAACTAAGAACCGATAATCGTGCACTGGGCAACGCGTATCGTATAAACCAGGGGTCGGCAAGTAATTTTAGGTGGAGTCCGGATACTTTTAAAAATTTTTAACGAGGTCCAGAAAAAAAATTCATATTTCTTACAAATTTTCACTTGAACTCAAATTTAATCTGCTTACTAACCATTAAGAACTGAAAACACTCACAAAATTGTAAAATACTAGAAAAAATGATAACGTTGGTACTCAAACGTAAAAAAACATTTTTTGAAATAATTTTTTTGAGTAATTTATACTTTCAAAAAATTTTTGGCGGTTCAGTATTTTACCTTCCGCGGTCCGGACCTGGACCGCGGTCCGCCAGTTGCCGGCCCTTGGTATAAACTATTAAATGCAGGCGATGGGCGATGCTGCTTCAATTTCTGCGTCACTCATTCCCCCACGCCGTAGTTTAATCCCGTGTTGGCCGCGTCATTGCTATGACAACCGCCGTAAACAACGCTGTGAAGAGAAGCAGAATACAGACTGATTTCAATCTGCGTCACTTGCGCATGCTATACTTTGTATGGTCCGAGGTTGATGTTCGCGCTCAATGAAGGCAATGTTTTTTAAAAGGCGTTCATCGCGTAACTATTCTGCTTATTTCTGCGTATCAAACAAACACAATACATTTTCAATATAGAATAACACCTAAATTATAAAATTTATATAAAATAATTTTAAATTGTACAATTAAACTGAAATTTTAGGTGAAGCGGTGCGTCACATGCGTCACCTGACGAGCCGCCACTAATTCAAAATGTGTTGCCTACTTGAAGATTTGCCACTAAACCTCAATGGAGAAATGTGTTTTATTCATAATGCACATTTCTTCTACAATGTATAAAAATTTAATGAACTACATCCATCAAAATAGAGTAGTAAAGATGCATCTATATTTTGTCCACGAAGGTAGCAGAATTTAAATCTGTTCAACTGTTTTCTTTGGGTAGCCCTTAAAGAAAATGTTTACAAGTGAAAATTGAAAACGAGTCAATTATGGCACACATTTTTTTTTTAATTTCAAATTTTCTTTATAGAATTAATACTTGATTAGGGTAAATTGCAATTATTTGGAACACTTGTTATAAGAACAGTTGATATTATTTTTCTTCATTTTTACTGTTATTGTTTTGTAATTTCATTCAGCTGCAGAAACTAGGAGGTTCCCAAGAAATAATATTTAACTAATTTGTGGGAAAATTGTTTCCCGAATATGTTATCAGTTTGGTATTTTAAACCTGTAAGTTTTCTCTTTTGACTCGAAATCTAACAACTTTTAAGAGAAACTGGTAGAGGCAGCACTTATATAAAATTAACAGATATTTCAAAATTTTAGTAATTTTCCTTAAAAGGTCCTAATTCTCTCCGAATATAGGGTTCGCAATGTTTGAGGATTATTCTTAATGCTTCCCATATGCTTTTATAACATATACCAAATTTGATTCAGATATCTTACATGTCAATTCTCAGATATTAATAAAAAAACCATTTCAAAAGTGATACTTAAACACTAACTTTTAAATAACTAAATTTTGGACCAAGGTAAATTGACTTGAATTGTTTTTAACCTTATTTTTAACCATATTCTATGGTTACTGTTTGACCACTGTTTTCATTTTTTAAAATTATTAACCATAAAATTAATTTATATATAATAATTTAATGTTTTTTCCTTTAGATGTCTGGCGATCCAAATCAAAGGCAACCATTTACTGTTAAAGAAAATGTTTCGAGTAGTTTGCACTTAAGTCAGTTATCATTGAGTGCAAATTCTTCCAGTTTACATGCTAATAGTAGTACGTTACATAGGAAAGCAAAAAGTAATGCTAATTTAACTGTAGATATTACTAATGATGTAAATAATGGTTTCCCGCCAGCCCGAACTGTGATTAACCACGGAAAGCCAAATTTAGCACCTAAACCACCGATTTTAAATGGTATGTTTTCTCACATTGTTATTAACTAACCTTACAGCATTTTTATCTTTAAGGAAAACCTGCCCCACCCCAAAAAAGAAATGGCAAACCCATCAGCAGGGCACATAGTATGAAAAGCCCGAGGTCGCCATCACCGCAAAGTCCTGATGGAAATTCTGCCAATAAATTTGGAACCGTTAGGCATATGTCTTCCATTATCAGCCAGTCATTAGCAAATTCGACTGGTCATAATCCCAGACCACGGCCTGCTATAAACACTAGACCTTCTGGTCCTCCTCCTTCAGTTCCAGTACAACAAGTACCGACGAACATAATATCTCCGAGTCAGCCACAGCAACCGCTTCCTCCGCCGCCCCCCTCAAAGATCAATGTGAAACATCCAAATCAGGCTCCCCCTCCACCACCTCCAAATTCGATACCCCAAGTTCCAAGCCACGCGCCACCGCCGCCCCCACCACATAAAACGCTACCCGTCAAACCGCCCCCATTGGTAAGTTAAATTAGTTAAGTTTTTTAAATTTTTAACTTTTAAGTATTCATTAATAATATAATACATTGTTAATAAAATTTTGACGTTCTTCATCGAAATATTTTGCTAGAAAATACGCCAAGTGAATTTTGAATATAATAATGATTTTGAGTGGAAAATTTACAAGATATATTTCTTCAGAACAAAATATTTTGACAAAATTAAGTATTTTTTCTAATTTTTATGAATTAAGCTTTTGTTTTCCTAAGTGTAACTTTGAATGAAGGTCATAATTATACGAAGGCTACCATTGACCTTCAGAAACACACGAGTGTCATAAGTTTGTTTTCTCAAATTCTATCATGATTTTTTTTTAACCTTTTTCATAATTTTTTTATCTAGCCACTGGACATGCTAGTGTAATCTAACTATGAGCACATACCTAATTGGGAATTATGGTATGCATGTCAAGTCTTCCATAACATACAGAAATTTAACAATGAAAACACACAAACACACACGCACCATCACTAAACCCGTATAAGGTCATATACTTACATTATACTAGACACATCACACTAGTGTGTTTGAAAATTATTAAAGAACTTCCAGATTACAAAAAAATACTTTATTTTTAATTGTACAAATTTATTATAGCACTTTGTATTCAGAAAAACATGTTAAGAAGGAACATATATCATACCTTGATTAAATAGTTTTAATATTATGTGCTAAATGTGAAAAACAAATTGCTGTAAGCAGCGTTTATTATCTGTTGGTCACTATACAGGTTCGGAAAGTCCCCATGTACATTGGCCGTTACGTGAGAGCGATAAAGTAAGTCATAGAAATCCGTGCGATAGACAAGGATGGTTACATTGAAGACGCTTCATAATCTGAATAGTCAGTCCCACTGAAACGGGCGGTGACTACTCAGGTTATGAAACGTCTTCACTATAGCCATCCTTGTCTATCGCACGGATTTCTTTACTTTGTCACTCTCATGTAAAGGCAGATGGACCATGTGGATTTTCCAGCCCTGTATAGTTCCAAAAAAGGAGTTTATTATTAGATTTATGAAAGAAAAAAATTTAACAAATTCTGTTTTTTTTCATTTTTTCATTTTTTAATTCTAAGGTTTATGTTTATGTGGTCAATGTGAAAAAATATACAGGGTATTCCTTAAGGGCCCCATATTCTTTAAGTAGTGTTTTCCGCAAAGACAAATAATTTCAAACATTTAATAACTGATTAATCTAAAGCTTATCAAATAACAGGAATGTTATGTCATGCCACCTGAGTATTTTCAAAGACGCTGCAGTAAAACGAATAAGCAGGTGCAAAAAACAATCAAACCATCAAGGTTTTAGGTACTGAAATCTACGAAAATACTAACTTTTTTATATATAATTCCACATGTAAATATTCTTATAACATTTACTTGCTTAGTCCTACATATAAAATTGTTTACTTTGTACTGCGAAGTACGTGAAAATAATTCTTAAAATATGGGGTTAGGATAACAGCAAACACATGTTTTACAAACGCTTTTTTTTAGTTATTATTTTATTTGAATACATTTAAATGGTAACAATGAATAAACAAAACTTCAAGGATTTTATTTTGTTGCTTACTTTTCTTCTATACGTTTTACATATAAAGATTTCAGTACCTAAAAACGTCAGAAATTTCACTATTTCTCTGCCAGGAATATGGCCACCTTAATGATATTCGAATATTAAGGGTGTGATTCTACATGAAAAATTAATGATAGTTTGCTTTATAAACTATGGTTCAAAAATGTTCCGTTGCGAAAATACGTGTTAAACTTTTAGGAAAAAGAAGGAAATTAATTAATATTTTCGAAACCGCTTGAGATATTTCAGTGATATTTAGTACGAAGTGATAAAGGCGCATGTTCTTCAATACAAACATAATTTTTAGCTCGGCCAGTGGCATGCGTACGAGCACTGCCTTTGATATATTTAAAGAAAAAAATGGTACGTCAATGGTTTTTTTCCCAAATAAAATTATTTTTGAAATCCCCGTTCAATTCGAAAGATAAGAGTTCTTTTGAGTTTTTGTCCTGCGATGCACCGTTTGTGAGTAAAAAAATTAAAATCCATTGTATTATCTGTAATTAATGTAATTCTTGAAAAATACAATTTTGCAATAAACCTGGAATGTAGCACTTGCATTTCTGACATTTTGAAGGAAGTCGCAAGCATAACTAGCAAAAGGCATTTAGCTAGTTATAAGTTGTCAATCAAAACTGTGGATTAGATAATAAAATTCGAAAATGAACAACTTTACTAACGCTGAATGACACAGATGCATTTCATCTACGGCTTAGCAAATGGGAATGCGGAAGAAGTCTAGCAAATTTATGGCAGAGTAACGCCATGTGCTAAAACATTTAGAAAGCTACATCTTAGACTGAGTGAAACTGGTAGTTTTAAGCATAGTAAGGAAGTTCCAGGCAGACCTTCAACAGTAACAACCCCAGAGTTAGAAGAAGCTGTACTTCGAGAGATAGAAGAAGATCCTTCGGCCAATACCAGGAAGAAAGCATTGCTTTCATGTAAATCCAAAGGGTGTTTGGAAAGTTTTGAAAGTTTGTCAGCTATAATATAATATATATAATAACTATATAGGCAGTTTCTAGCCAAAGAACTAAACGTTTTATTAGAAGATGTACCTCTACACGTAAGAGCTAACTTCTGGTTTATGCACGATGGTGCCCTAGCTCATTTTAACCGTGTTGCTCGTCAGTACCTTCACAACACCTTTCCTAATCCCTTGTGACTTATGTACGGGCTCACCTTGATTCGCTTGTGTATAAGACACCTGAACTAGAAAACGAGTTACGAATCAAATAATTCAAAGTTGTGATGTCATACAAAATTCTCCAGGAATTTTTTAACTAGTGAGACAATCAATTATGAAACGATCGAAATCGTGCGTTTTATTAGAAGGTTTTCAACATCTGCTTTGATTTTGTGTTGAAACTGATTATTTCTATGATTGTTGTCTGTATGTAGTTGCCGGCCATTTCTCTAAGAATAGGTTAGTATTAGGCAAAAAATTCAAGACACCTTTTTTGTTGTAAAATGTTAGGCAATTCTGAAAATAATATAAATTTTAAAAAAACCATTGGCGATCTACATTTTATGATGAAAAGGTTGTCTGACTCACGCCTAACTACGCCACTGGCGTCACATAAAAATTACCTTTATACTAAAAATGCAGCTCATTACCAATGTACAATAACTACCAAATTTTAAAACCTAACATTGACTGTTCCAAATTTATTTCAGATATTAATTTATTTTTTTTAATTTTCAATAGCCTGTTCCTCAGAATCTAAGCGTTTCCAGTCACATGTTTATAGGAACTTTTTTCTAAACTACCATAAGAAATTGTGTCCTAAAGTTACGGACTGTACTTAGGAAACACCCTGTATTGTAGTAGTTCCTTTTGAAACTTCCCAGCCTAATATCTAAAAAAAATGTTTAATGCACATAAATGACTAATTTTTAATGCGAGATGTTTCCTTAATACATAATATATAATAAATTGAAAAAACTTTTGGTTTGAAATATGTCTGAAATCGGAAACCAGATATTTTTTAGAAATTAGAAAATTTACCCAAAGTGTAATGTTTTTTTACAAAGATCGCTTTCCAAAGTTCTTATCATTGAAAAATGTCTTTAGTTCGCTGCATCTTCTACAGTATGTCCGCGGATTGAGTTTACAAGAGGACAAATGGACCAAAAAGTGAAAGATATGAAAAAAAGGCATACTCGATTGAAGTTTTTGCTTGTTTAAAAAATATGAATCACCATAACGAACTTCAATTTTGTTGTACAGGGTGGGCAAAAAACACAAAAATGTTATTTTGTGTAAGAGTAACATTTATTTTGTAAGATATGGAAAAATGGCATTATTCATAAAAATTTTTGCTTGAAAAATGAATGAGACGTTATTAAAAAATTAATTTTTTATACAGAGAACAAAGTACAAAACTAAAATACATCTTATTCAAGTGTAATTTTTAAATAATACGAACATAATTACAACAATTAAAATTAAGCTAAAAAAAGTAAACAAAGCAATATGATGAAGATATCAAATTTCAGAAACGCCATCCCCATATTGAACACATTTTTCTAATTGCTTCCTTAGATATCAAGGAATTTCACATTTCTTCCTGGGATATTGACCGGATAGTCTAGGTAATTCGTAATTCAGTAATTTTAGCATTTCAGTATTATTAGGTATTGGAGTAGCATAGACAATTTGTTATAAACGACCCATAGAAACATATCGGCCATTAGTCAGGACTCCTTGGTGGCTACAAAAATGGACCATTTCTACCATTTCTTCTATATCTTGGACAAATTTATGGTTAAGACACTCTGTTACCTCACAAGCACAATATGCCGGACAATCATCCTGTTGAAAATACATTTTTTGGCGAAAATTTTATGGGAAATTTTCAAGTTCATCGCTAAAAAATGTGTCAAGCATTTCTAGGTACTCTGATTAGAGGTGTACTAGAGAATACTTAATTAAATTTTTGATAATGTGACATTCATTTTTCAAGCAAAAACTTTTATCAAGAATGCCATTTTTTCGTATCTTGCAAAATAACGTGTTTACTCTTACTCAAAATAACATTTTTAACCCATCCTGTACAACAAAATTGAAGTTCGTCATAGTGATTCGTATTTTCCAAACAAGAAAAACTTTTATCAAGGATGCCTTTTTTCATATCTTTCACTTTTTGATCCATTTGTCCTCTTGTAAACTCAATCCGTGGACATACTGTATATTGCTATGAAGTGTAATATCATTTAATACACAACAATTACACAAAATTTAGATATCAATTTTAAAGGATATTGGGCTGGAAAGTTTTAATTGTCTAACCTATATTTTAACGGAAAACGAAGGTAGCGTAAGATTTTATTAACTTGTTTCTCTGTTAGGTACCACCAATCAATAATACACCACCTCCACCACCCCCAAGACATTCATCTATGAATACTGCAACAACGAAACCGGAATTTCCTGATTTCGAGGAAAAATTCAAGAACTTATTTCAGTCACCTGATAAATTTCCTCAACCAGTACCATATAAAAACGTTTTAAAGATGTATTCGTCTTTAAAATCTGGCATATAATATTTAACTAATATTTTGCTTTAATCTAAACGAATCCAAAATATTTATCATTTTGTTATTGTATAATACATTTTTAATCTTATTTATTGCAATAGTTTTTATTCAATATATGACAATGCCTTGAATTTCTGTATATATTATCAATTGTATATTGAGGATTGAACCTAGAGTAGAGGAAGGTGAAAGAAAGCATTAGGCATACGCATGTCCATGAATTCTTAGTTTCTCTAGCTGAAGTGCCTTTTTCTCTATTAGTTAATCTGTGCATTATTAATACTAGACTTGTAATTTGTCAAAATTTATTCAATCATGATATAAATTATAAACTACCTGTACAAAATGGTATTTCTAAAGATAACAAATATGTGTATATAGGTACCTCATTTTTTTTATTAAATAAATAAAAAATAAATATTCCTTTCCAAATTTTTATAATACTGCTTAATCATACACAGAAAAATCATATTTTTTTTTATTCAGCGATGAAGAGTAACCAGTATAATAAAAAAGTTGTAAATGTTTGATATTAGAGGATTAAGTATAATAATTATATTGACAGTGGTATTTGACCTTGGTTGAAAATATTTTGAAGTAATGTTCGCTTATTCATTTTACAAGATTGTTTGGATTCAAAAAAACTTCGAATGTGTGAAGTTATTTATTTATGGCATAGTTTTAGTTTCTTTTTTGAGGTATTTTGCCACCTTTGAAAAAATTTAAAAATTAGAGAAATAATTGCGCCATGAAAAACGTGCACTTCTGAACTTTTTTTGACGTTTTCTTTTAATTACTCTGAAAAAAGAAAAAAAACTGGTTTTCTTTAAATAATATGATATCAAAATGTTAGGTATGTGATTGTTTTTACAAATTATCAAGTTATTAACTTTAAAAAATAGTTACTACTTAATAGCCCAGGAGCCAGCAACCGTTTTGAGTACGTCATTTGGCAAAAGCTGAAAATTTTTTCTACGCTTGATTTGGTATCACTAGTAAATGAATCGACCTCCAGCTCGCGCAGTACCAGTTCCGGGGGGTGTAACGGCAGCCGCCTCCCAAACACGTAAAGTAATAAAATAAAAAAACTAATACCGCAAAAGCTGAGACTTCGTCGACAAGTTAATTATGTTATAAACAAAAGAAAAAACGCAATCAGCTGACTAGAGTGGGGGGTTATGCCTCGGCTTTTCACCTAAACAAGTCAAAAATAAGCGCTAGGTAAACTGATACCGAAAAAGCTGAAATTTGGTAAAGTAATAGTCATCTAATCAGTAAGTATAAGTGCTCAGCTGACGAGTTAAAGGTGCAGCACATCGTTATACGCGCGAGCGCGTTACATCTTTGACTTTATCAGCTGAGCACTTTTCAATCACTAAATATAAAGCTGGGCATGTTTTCATTTAACTTAAGTTAGCTATTGTATTACCAAATCTCAGCTTTTGCGGTAAGAGATATCTATAATTTTTTGATTTTTCAAGTCGCTAGTAATTATATAAAAATATAACTTTTATCAAATATTTATTTACAATAAACGATTTCACGAGTTTTTCAATTTAAAGAATTAATAAATAAATATTCACAATATTTGGGCACACGCTCATCTTCATGTCCCAACAGAATTATATCCGACTGATTTCGGCTGGGAAGAGAAGGGGGACAAATTTATTTTCAAATGGTTTGAGAGTGAACAGCTGCCCTCTTCCCTTGGGGATATAATTATCGAGGACAAGCAAAAAAATAGTGCAGGTCAGAATTATACAATTATTATATTTCGTTCTATAGGTACTAAAATTTCATTATTTAAGTGTAAAATTTTTATTATTTCATTTACATATCGAGGGCGTCATATCAGAAGGGCGTAAGAACCAAATCTGAAATTTTACAGGCATACGCCTTTCTGAATCCGTGAAAGAAACCCGTGCGATAGACGAGGATGGCTATAGTGAAGACGTTTCATAATCCGAATAGTCACGGCCCGTTTCGGGTTAGAAGTGGGAGTGACTATTCAGATTATGAAACGTCTTCAATGTAACCATCCTCGTCTATCGCACGGATTTCTATGACTTACTTTATCGCTCACGTAACGGCCGATGTACCATGGGGACTTTCCGAATCTGTATGAAAATAAAACGGATATTCCAATAAAACCAAAAATAAAAAATATTCAATAAAAACAAAAAAGAAACTAAATAATGTCAAATCGGAATGTTTACACATATATTAACTTTTCTACATTTTTCATTAACAGTCTTCAATAATATAAGCGTAAACCAAATTATTTGTTATATCTTTCTCGATAGCAAGAGCCTGAAACATCTGTTTCGCTGTTTCACTCACACCTTCCGCCGGCCTTGGGATAATGGTGTAGCTCATTCTAAGTTTTCTATGCGCTTTCGATATTTTGCTATGAATATTTTTATGAAATTCTACCTGCAGGGCCATCGTCATTTAGTTAAGATGATGCTTTTCAAGAAACAGCGTAAGTCACTGCTGTAAGTAACTGTTATGTTAAAGTAGTAGTTTCGCCTCGATCCTAAATTCAAGTGTGTGGACTACTATAACTAAAAATTGGTTTTAAAGAAAAACAAAATAACTTAAATTTGATTACCTAAAGTGAGCAATTAAAGTACATATTTATTTTGAATAAACTAAACAGAAATCACCTTACAGCATATACTACTAGAGACTGGAGGTAGCCTACCAACGGCTGGGCGCGCACAAGGCGAAGAGAGAGGTATTTGCTATCTTTGGGAGGGTGGGAGTTACAGGTTTTGTTATTGTTTTTTCTTTGCTGTTTTTTAGTGATGGGAATAATCGAATGAATTAAATAATCGAGAGGTTACCGTTCGAATTAATTTTATAATCGAATAATCATTCGAATGATATATAATCGAAAGTCTACTTCGAAAATTTCCGACCTATCTCAAATTATATGCGAAACATGACGCTAGGTAAATGAATGACTTTCGCGTATTGCGGCATTTCTTCGTTGTGAGTTGAGTGGTTCATCATCTTGTGTTTAAAATGAGTAGTCGCCGCCTAAAGAGATCCATTGTTCGGGGTTTTGAAAAAAAAATATATAGAAAACATAATTTTTGTATTATTTTCATTCATATGAATTCCTATCCTTGCTAAATAAAGCTCCCTTCTAAACCGCCCTTCAAAACCATTTGATTTGACCATTCAGAATAAAATTCAGGCGACACTTGGTGCATGCGCGTTGGCTTCAACTTAAATCGGCTGTTTTAGCTGTATATTTTAGGTTATATTTATATTTTGTTTGTTTTCAAAATTTTAAACTAAAATGTACAATAATAATCCATAATAATAATTAAAATGAGCCAATTCCAAGCTACTCCCGAGATTAGCGACGAATTTTTATTACAATGTATCTCCAATTACAGACCACTATGATAAATCTGACAGATTATAACATTGAAAAAAAATGTTGGGCTCGCTGAAACGAGCTTCAAGAAGAAAATTTTCATAAAATTTATGATTTCTCCGGGCCGTTAGAATTGGTCTTACTCCCCCAAGACCCAGAAGTCTTTTAATGGAGTTTTTTTGCTCGAATTGCTATAATAGCTGTCTTTTTAAGTAACAACAACAACAGCATTGTTACCTGTAAAAGAGGGGATAACAAGTTTCCCATTCTTCCATCGTGGTTAATCAACATAATGGTTAAACTAATTTCAAAATTCCATAAAATTAAAATTATGTTGACATTTTATTAAAACAATCATATTGCGCATATCCCGTAACCGGCACGGAAGTCGGCACGGACGTCAAAGTTTGCAGCTTGCGAGGTTTCACGCGCACTTCAACTCGTTTGCCAGCTCGAGATTTTATTCTGAACGGCTACATTGAAATGCGAAAGGTAAGCACGCGTGGCCAAGTCAGACTTCGCCCGCGAATTGATTGTGAATGGGGTTTAAG